GAGAAGGCTCTCACTGACACCTCAGGTTTCATTCCCCGTTGCTAACCCGCCTTTATGCTTTTAAAAATAGGACCTGAAGGACCTGATGAGGAAAGCAGGGGAAGTTACCTTTGTGGACGCTCACAGACCCACCAAAAACGAAGGGTGAGTTGCTGTTTTTTGAGTTGAGCCTTTCTGTATTCCTAATGTGAACTGTTTGTCCACTAATTTCTCTTTTCATGCAGGGTGGTTGAGTTTGCATCCCGCAGTGACATGAAGAATGCCATATCCAAGCTTGATGGGACAGAACTGAATGGTCGCAAGCTGAAGATGTTTGAGGACAGCAGAAAGTAAGGTTTTTTAATTTATTTTAGGTTGTATCCATAAATTGTTCAGGAATTTGCGAGGTTTCAAGTCAGTTTGACAAACTGTTAAGAGATTTAATATTTTATTTTGAAAAGCCGAAACATTGTGTTGTAATTGCGCGCTCTCTCTCTCTCTCCCCGCAGTCACAGCAAGAGCCGCTCTCGCTCCCGCAGCTACTCCCGCTCAAAGAGTCGCTCCAGGAGCCGCAACCGCTCCAGGAGCCGATCCAGATCCGCCAGCCGGACTCCCGAGAAGAAGACGTCAGGAGGGGGCAAGGCCTCAGCCAGATCCCCGTCCCGCTCCAAGTCTCGCTCCAAGTCGCGCTCCAGATCTCGCTCACGTTCACCTGCACCGGCTCAGGACAAACAGTCTCCCCGCTCTCGTTCCCGCTCTCGCTCTCGCTCCCAGTCCCGCTCTCGTTCCCGCTCCGCCTCAGCAGACAGCAAACACTGAGATGGGTACACCTGTATGTTGTAACATAGACTTGTAGTTGCTCGGTGTGGGTCTAAGTCTTTTTCCTTTCTTTTTTTTCCTTCTTTGTTTTAGTGAAGGGGATGCATTGCCTTTTTATATGGCTTCTTTTGAAATAAAGACTGTCATTAATGACACTTTCGTGTTTATTATTTGTAAATCTTAATTTTGGATGCGTCTCCGTAGAAGGAAGTTTTGTTTTTGTGAGATTTATGTATCCCATCTTTGTACAGGCATTTCATATATACGAAATACTCAGTTGGTGATGATGCCCGTTACAGTCTAAGCTGTCTGCCATGTTTTGATTCCATCCAGCACTCTGTGGCTTTTGGTCACGTCATTGATTCTCCAAAATGTTGACGAGTATGTTTTGGTAATGCGAGCTCCCGGTTGTTGCTGTGATTACGCTTGTGATGACGTATTTGTACACGTTTCATTCACTGCCCTGATATGTGAATCTGCAAAGACTTCAGCTAGTTATTTGTCTGGATTTTTTTTCTTTCATTTTTGTAATGGATTTAGATTTGTTTTTAAATCATGGCCTTATTCCACCTGCTGAGTTTTCTTAATCTCCACCCTATTGGGTGTTGAGGGCCTGAACACGTTTGTCTCTAAATAAGTTTATAATTTGATACTAATAAAATGCCCACTGCATTTCCTTTCCTTTTTTTATGTCAGTTTTTTAAAATACTTTGTGAATGTGGTTCAAGAGATTCACATACGCATTAAAATTTCTGCGATTGAACTCAATAAAGCTTCACAACTGTTAATTCTGTTCGTTTGTCGTTTCTCAAGTCAGTATTGAGCAACATTAAATAAAATTGGAGGGTTTGCAGTGCAGGTGCTGCAGCTTTCTTGTGTGCACATACAGTAGTGGATAAGCGAGAGTGAAGATTAAGCCAAGCTCATAACTACCACAAGATCCTGTTTGAACACGTGTGGCTCAAACCTTGCTGTAATGAAGCTGATATAGCAAAGTGCAAACATTTATGGGTTGTATTAAGATTTTGACTTTATTTCAAGTCCTCTGATACAATTCAAGGCTTTTTGTTTAGATATTCTATGTATTGTACAATGAAGAGGCACACAGGGTGAAAGTCAATGGCTCTTAGGTGTAATAAAACTGCAGTTGTGTTCGAAGTTTACATACACACATAGGCATGGATGTGGTAATTTGCTGCTTTCCATGATTTCTTTGAACGGTTCTTTTTTCGGTGTGGATACAGAATATATCTTTAATGACTTTAAAAACAATTCTGAATTTATTTTTGGCTCAGTTATATAAACATATTTCAGATATTTGGTTAAATCCCCCTTAGCAGGTTACACCTCAATTAGATGCTTTTGGTAGCCACAAACAAGCTTCTTGCTTAATTCTGGCTCGATATTTGACCACTACTCTTGGTAGAATTGTTAAATTGATTGCATTTCCTGCTACTGACCTGTTGAGGGTACTTGAGTTGAGATCAGGATTTGGGAAGACCATTCCAGAGTGTTAGCTTGCTCTATTCATTTACACAACCAGTATCTTTGAATGTATCTTTGGGATCATTGTTTTTTTGGAACCCCAGATTGTGTCGAAGTTTCAACCATCTAGCTTTTGATTTGAGGTGAACTTTCTGTGTACATTATACCACCTGCTTTATGCAGTGCCAAATCCTAAATAAATGCAAACTTGTGCACCCAACTCTTATTTTTTAAGAAGCACTTGTTTTTGACTTTTGGGGCTGGTCCCAAAAGCGAGTCACTCCCCATAGACTTCCATGTTAAAGGGCCCAACTTTACAGGATTATAAAAGCTAACTATAACGACATCATGGGGCCAAATGTATTTGGAATACATCTGAATACTGGGCACACATTTGACTAACAGGTGTTCCAACAAAGACATCTGTACCTGGTGTGTGCTAACTGGACCTCTCTGCTATGTTTGGGCTGTTGGTGCATTTTGCTCCTCCCTTTCATCCACATATGATCACTTCTGGCTCCAGTGGTGACTACATCCACTTTTTTGTACAGTCTTTGGCTCTGACGGCCTTTATACTGAGAAAAACCTGATTTTGAACAGTAAAAAATTAATTAAAGTTCATTTTTTCGCTTGTTCAAGGGGACAGAGGGGCGATTACTGAGCAAATATGATTATAGACAAGCTTTCTGAGGATTAATATAGTAACAGCTTATCCAGGAGCTCATGCTAATCCTTAAAGTGGCCACGTGCTTTAAAGATGAGTGGTTTCTCTTTACGTTACTCACCGTTAAAGAGTAAAACATGTTTGTTGCGGTCTTGGTTAAATGCAAGCAGTTTTTATTACTTTGGCTTTAATCCCATTCATCGTGGTCACCACATGGTGGCAGTGTCTACTCGCATTGCAAAGTCGCTGCATGGCTGTACATGAGTGATCCACCATTAGGGATGACAATAATCAGGACATGATTTTCCAGGTGAATGAATGGAAATAATTTACGCAGGTAAACTGCTGTGATTTTAAGAGTGAAAGATGTAATCACGCAACTCGAGCCGTTGAAATGGAATTTAACATGGAGTTTTTGCATATCTATCTATCTATCTATCTATCTATCTATCTATCTATCTATCTATCTATCTATCTATCTATCTATCTATCTATCTATCTATCTATCTATCTGTAGTTCAATGTTGCTCCACCCCCAGCTGCTCTCACAGCAAAGCTTTGTTGTTGTTATTGTTGTATCACTCAGGTATCACTCTACCTGCCACTGCAGGGAAGGAAGTCCTGCGGTGACGTTTTGTTCTGGAGAGAAATATATGAGGGATAATTAATGCCCTGTTGAAGCGCAATGAATGCAAAGGCAGTCAAATTTAAGTGCCAGACTTATAGAAGGAAATTAATGCCATATTTTAAAAACAAAAACAAAAACAAAGGTTTTGCATATAATGACTTAATCTTAGTGAGATACTAAAAGCTGTATGCTTTCTTACCACTGCAGTATCTTTGCAGTAATAAAGCTCCTTGAGTCTCTCATTGGAGGAAGTATGATACTCAGACACTCGTTTTGCCTTCAAGGAAATGGTCTTTGTTATATGGTAATAAACACTTACTTTATTAGGTATTCATCTTGTTTATGTCTAATTCTGGCCCTACCATCCAAATGTGTCATTAGAACTGAAAAAAACTAAATAACACACATCTCTTGCTGTATAAGTAACATCCTAACACTTTCCTTTTTAAATAAACAGTGCCACTGTGGTATTACAAAATGCTGTTTCATCAGTCTGAAACGCACCAACTTCCTCAAAATGCCTCGTTTATCTCACAGCGACACTGATCCAACATACAATAAAACTTAACGCTATTTGATGTCAGTGTTGCTAAGCTTTTAGCTGAACTGCAATCGGTAGAAATGATTATCTGGAATAACTGCCACTACGCCACTATTTGAGCTTTTATGGTTTCACATCAGTTGGAGGGTTTCGTGATGTAAGGTTGTGATAGTTATAGTGTTCTATCTGAAGTTGGTGTACTGGGTTTAACAGCTGCTGATAGATTTAATTTCCTTTTGTTTATGGATACACTGATTTTGCTTTTTTGGAGAAAGACACGACTCGTGGTGCATATTTGCAGGACTCGGCTTGATAAAATAAATTTACTGTACTGCAAAGATGAGTGCAACTGTGGGGTGGACTAAACCATTTTACCATCTGTTTCCATCCATCCTTTTCCACTTATCTAGTTAACCTAACATACAACTCCACAGAGAAAAGGCCCAGCAGGCTGGTGGATTTCAAATCTGTATCTCTAAATATGGAAATGCAAAACTGCAAACAAAACAGGCTTTGGAGGACTCCTGCCACTGTCTGTCCTTAGGTAGTCTCTCCCACTCACTCCACCCCACCTCAGCAACTAGGGCCCCCTGGTAAAAGCACTGAGTTACTCCCATCTGATTGGTTGATTAAATATTTACATTAACATGCAGTTATACAAGTGCATGCTCTCTTACCACAGTTTTATCATATAGCTGGCATCATATGTCATATCATACATGCTTTTCCTTTACAAGACACATTTTATTATCTGGTGCAAAAACAAAAACACAATGCAATGAATGCTGTGAATAAGTGTGTGAGTGGGTAAAACGTTCCCCTCCCTCCCGCAACAGGGCGGCACGAATCGCCCTCCATACACTCAGAGCAGCGTGGTAGGCACAACAAGCTCAGCGGTGGCTCCGCTGCAGTCCCTCCCTGGCACAGAGGACCACACCGGAGAAATGAGCTCGTCCTCCGCCGTCTGCACTGCATTAACGTGAGTGCGTAACGGCTCTTTTTCACGGAAACACACGCGTATACAGAGGACCTGCACCGGTCTGCTGTTTCCAACCCCCCCAGCTTGGTGTCGGATAGTCCCACCGGCAGCTCGGACCATGGCGGAAAGAAGCGGCCGGCTGAGTTTCCCCGGGAGCGGGGCTCTCAACAGACCGGTTCCCATGAACCTGTTTGCAACGTGGGAGATAGACGGATCGTCCCCGAACTGCATCCCGAGGTAAAACGCGGCTGGCGCCGTATCTCGGTGTCCTTTTAAACTTTAAATGCGACGCTTGCACCGTGCCATACGCGCAAGCTGTCAGTTGTCAGTTGGCTAACGTTACGCTTGCACCAGCTAGCTGTATCATCATGCCAAGTGGATGCCCATGCAGGCAGGCCCTGCACCGGGATCCTCCATCCATCTGCAGCACTGTTTGAATGTAAATATTGCAAAGGGAGGGTAAACTGTGCCTTGTTGGTAGGCTACAAAAACAAACACGTTCAGTGCAAGGTTACATCCCACCGTGAAGGTGTGTGTTCTGCAGAAGAATGAAAGGTAACCAGCCCCGTGCCAGATCACTGTGCCCCGCTTCATGCATCATGGAGACCCAGTGGGTTCATTGGGTTCTTGTGAGCCCCCCCCCCCCATCCTCCACCCTCGAGGAGACTTAAATGCAGTGTGCATTCCAAGGTTGCCCCGATTTGGGTGCATTTCTATGATTTCTAGTGTTCCTCATCTCAGCACTGGTAACATTTCACCCATGATAGGAGAGCAGCTCACAACAATTTTCACTATTGATTGTCTTCTGCCAGAAAGTATAGTTTAATACCTTCACAGACAATAATATCTCAAAGTCTCTGGAGGCTTTGGCATTGTTTTTAGTTTACTGCCTCATATCTCCCACTATGTAAACATACTGTAAAAAACAAAAAACAGCCAAGAAACTTCAAAATGTCATTTCTGTAACTTCTCTTTAAATTTGTGTGTGCAGCTGCTGAAAAAGCAACAAGCAATTTTAATTTTCCTTTGTTGCCTATTTGTTTTTCAATACTCAAAACAAAAAAAGCTCTGTGTAGGTGTGTTTGGTTCTTTTAAACTTATGCCTTGCCCTCAGGTTGCAAACAGAACAGAGCAGTGTTTGTGTAGTTGTTCTCAGCTGGAGTGTCACTGTGGTTTTACTGGACTGCGCTCCTAAAACCCAACAATGTCTAATTATACGGTGATTCAAAAGGGAGAAAAAAACCAGCAAATTTTCACTTTTCTGATGCTGGAGTTAATTACAGTAGCGTAAACGGTTCATTCATTATTCAAATGAACATGGGTATATAATTAAGGCTATAGTAAATACAGGAATATATGAGATTTCCTCCTCCTCTGAATATATTTGTCTGTTAGGCTTTTCCATATATAGTCATGGTAAAAAGAAAGTACAGTTTTAATGTCTAACATATCAGGACATAACAAAAATATCCTGGCCCTTAACAGGTCTTAATATTTGGTAAATACAACTTCAGGTGAACAGAAACGCATGACCTATCATGCTTTTATTTATCAGCTTGACTCATGCACTTGAGTAACTGATCATCAGTAAACGTGAGCTCCTTTATAAAAGCTAAAGTTTTGGTGGTCTGGAGCATTCAGGTGTGGTTTAAAAGAGAATTTACATCACCACTGAACCAATCTTTCCTGTTCATCAATCTGGGTGGACAGATTGATGGACAGGAAGTTGTTTAAAAGGCCATTTCCAAACGATTTGAAGTCCATCATTCTACAATGAGAAAGATTATTCACAAGTGGAAAACAAGACGTTTGGACGGGCATCCCAGCAAATTCACCCCAACAAAAAAGAAGTTAGTTACTATGTTAAATGTTAAACTTATTAACGGTACAAATTTCCAGGAGAAAGCATTTCTAAAAAGAACAAACCACAAGACTTTGGCAGCAGCGTCCAAAAGACAAATTAGGCCAAAGTAGTTATGACTGGTTATAGTGAAAAGAGAAGGGAAACATCAGCAGAAGCACATCACACCAAGCACGGTGGTGGAGGGTTGATGATTTGGGCTTGCTTTGCTCCCAGAGGACTTTGGGACCTTACAGTCACTGAATCAACCATGAACTCAGATGTATATTAAAGTATACTGGAGTCAAATGTGAGTCCATCTATCCAACAGCTACAGCTTGGGCAAAACTTCATGCAACAGGACAACGATCCCAAGCACAGCAGCAAATCTGCAACAGAATGACTGAATTGTTTTGATGGGCCGTTACAAAAGCTGTTCATAAACAAATGCCCACAAACCTCAATGAACTGAAATGACATAAAAATAGTGGGCAAAAATCCCCCACAATGATTAGAGAAATTGATAAAGTCAGACAGGAAACTGATTACTTGAAGTTGCTGCTGCTAAAAGTGAGTCAACAAGCTACTGAATCATGGGGTGTACTTAGTTTTGTTAGTTTTTCAGATGCTGTTTCAATAGACACAGTGTAATATGTCATGAGTTGTCATTCATCTTGGCTTGTAGTTACCTAATTTTAAGACCAGCTAAGGAGCAGTTGATTGTTCACTGTGGCGTTATGCATAAAACCTTATAATTGAAAGAGGGTTTACTTTCGTTTTGCTATAACTCTGTGTTTGAAAGCCTAATGCAAATGTTCAGTTTGAGAATAATAATTCTGAGTGTCAGACCTTGAGCTCAAACGCTGGGTTATCGCACAAAATAGTCGGTCTGATTATGAAGTGGCATTGAATTAAACCACAGCCTTGGTATAAAACCTTGGTCAGCAGTTCTACAAACTATCCTTTAAACCTGATCTCTTCCGATATTTAATGTTGTAACTATCAGCACAAGCATGTAATGTGGTTAGATATTTTTTTGAATTAAAAACAGATATGAGGCATTTCAGTACGAGTATAACTGTAAATAAATCTATGTTTACAGGCATATAATCAAATAAAGTTGTATTTTTCCCCCCATAAAATCAGAGCCAAAACCTCATTAGAGGAGGTCAGAAAAGAAATCTTTTTTTTTAATGGTCGTATATCAGATTAAAATATGGTAACTATTCAGCACTTGGATGCAACACAGACAAAATCCTGCTGTCAGACTTCGGTCAGCATCTGTCAGGCTGCAGAGAAGAGGGAAAACGCTGCAACTGATACAGAATATGGAGGAGTATGTTTGTGTGTTTATTTACTTTTTTTAAAACTCTCTCTCTTCAGCCTCGATCTATCCTCTTAAGTTAATACCTTCAGTGGGCATTAAATTGCATGGCTTTTAGCTGAAATAAAACTAATTCATTTCCAGGAATAGCATAGTCGAGATGTTATTCAGCTGAGTGGACAAGTGGATAAAAAGGTTCCTGTAACTAAAAAGTCCCGGGTTCAATCTGCACCGACCCTGCACGTCTGTCAGCAACAAGAGCAGCGTGGGCTGGCGTATGAAGCTGCTTTACAGAGTGGATTTACTTCGCTTAATGTGTTCGTGGGCTCAGACACTGCAGCAACTCGCCTGCTAGTGTGAAGTGAATTCAAGACCTTTAAAGGCTGTAGCTCTCTATTGACTGCTGTCTGTCAGAGTTTAGACAGGAGGAACTCGGCTTGTTAACCAGGTGTCAAATCAACTGTCTTCCTCTGTCAGTCTCACACGGGAACTAAATAAACTGAACGCCTCACTGCCTGCACTACTATCTACTTCTTTTAGTATTTAGTTGTTTTTTGCTGAAACAATGGAGAGGCTCTTCTTTCAGTTTTCTTTTCATGTAGTATAATTCATGGTTATGATAATTAAAAATTTAGCTTTGGATAAATAGTGTGAAAAATGAACTTGGTTGTTTCTATTATTCCAAAACATAGACTGTATATAAAAGATGGATCGGGAAATGCAGAAGACCTTTAAACCTGCGTTTCTTTCCCCTAATGGTCAGCAGGAGGTCTTTTTTTTTTTTCCACTTACAAAAAGAAGTCTGATTGAGAAAAGACCAGTAAATACATTCGCATTAAATGTAATAATCTTCAGCGGTAGCTTCAGATCATGAAATGTGTTAATGCTCATTTTGTAAATTGTATGCTTTAGGGCATGGGCACCTTATGTGTGACAAATCAGTCAGGGTCTAGAGTTCATCATTCACTGCTATGCAGATGATACCCATTTATATTTATCTATGAGGTTGAAAGACCAAAATAAATTAGCTCAGTTAAAGCTATAAAGCCTCTGATGACTGCCAATTTCCTACTATAGACACAACTAAAAATCTTTGCAACATTATGTCTAACCAGATACTTACTGTAGATAGGCCTTGGCTTCCAGCAGCGCTGTGAGGAAACTTTCAGTCATTTCTAATCAGGATATATCCTTCACCATGCACATTAAACAACTATTTAAGATTGCTTGCTTTTATTTGATTCTAGCTAATGTATTAATTGCTTCTAGTGTGGCTATTTAATTCATTATTATCAGGTTGTTCTAAAAAATCAAGCATTGTATCTTCTATTTTCCACTCCCAACCAGGTGACTGCCCCTCCCCGAGCCCTCCCGGAGGTCTATTCCTGTTTAGAAGGGAGTTTTTCCTTCCCACCTTCTCAAAGAGCTCTTATTAGAGAATCATCAAATTTAGAGGGTTTTTTTTTTCTCTAATGCTGTAGGGTCTTTACCTTAGTATCTGCCGGTTCGTGACAAAAATTGAGAAATATTTTTGTCGATAGCTAAAATGTTAAGAGCAACTCTGCAAACTAGTGGATGATGGTAGCTGTGTACATCTTTTACATACAGTCTATGGTAAACGACTGAAATCTAATTGTTATCATATTTGCTTCCTTTCTCAAAAATGTGAGCTCTCAATAAAAACTGAATGCATGTTAAGTTTTATTAACTGCCATCTGTCATCCTAATTTTTGCAGTTGTACAAGCAAGCCTTCAGCTTATGCATTGTAATAAGAAAAACAGTGCAGTTCTTGACAGCAGCGACCATGACAAGTTAGTGGATTCTCTATGCGAGACAGAGGTATTATGAAGGGAAGAGTACTTAGCATGAAAAGTGATTTTTTTAAAATTGCAAACACATCTCCTTTTTAGTCCTCAGGAGCCAGAGTTTAATTTTTTATGGGGAAATCAGGTTTGGTGTGAAGAGAGTCGGTAACATGGTTCCACACAGCTGTACTCATTATACTGTTCTGTTGCCAGAATGAGGATTTAAATTAGTAAACTTGTATACAGTGCTAATCAGATCCTGGCATC